ATGCATCATATCAAACACATTGCATAATCCCAAAACAGTTGTCCTGAAGCCACTACATGATTCACTGCCGAATGGCAGAGGCATACAGTCCAGGCCTAGTAGTATGGAGTAATAATAGCATACATCGGATGCCAAAAGCGTTCAACTACGTACTCAGAAATCCACAAATTGGTGCGAACTAGGTATGTTGCACAATGACAGGAGTATCCAATAGCCCATCCAGCTCAAAGCTCTACTGTATCTAGCCCAAAAAAGGTTGGGTCTAGCTACTCGGCTACACATCTCTTAAAATGACCACATTTGGTATTGGTATGTCTAACGACAACAGGAAAGATCTTTAATTTGTACATAGGCTGACGGCGGGGCTATTCATGCTAGTCCATTTACTGGGCCTTGGAGGACATGATACCTAAAATAATTGTAAGCATCGTATCAAGAATCATGCAGCACACAGGTGGTCCACTTACGCTCAACATCGGCAACGCTCTGCTGAAGGATCTGCTGGAGAACCTTGGGGTTCTCAAGCTCCTTCTGGATCTTGCCAATGACGCTCTCGGCAAGCTCACGCTGCTGGCGCTGCTTAACCTGGCCCTCGTAGCGAACCCAGGAGTCGAGAACCTGCTTGGCCTCGGCAGCAAGAGCAGTGCGCTGCTCAAGCTCGTAGGCCTGGGCCTCAAGCTGAGCGGTTTCCTTTACGTACCGTTAGTTTCCTGTATCCGCTAACCCGATGATATTCCGATCGGATGAGTGTGGAAAGAATCTGAATGTACCTTGGAAACAGCGAACAGCTGCTTGGTGAGCTCAACAACGCTGGAGAGCTCCTGAACGTTCTCCATACGCTGCTTAACGGCGTTGGTGTGGTCGGCACGGGCAGCGTTCAGGATGTCCTTGTGCTTCTGAACCTGACCCTCAGCCCACTCACGGTAAGCAGGGCCACCGTACTTGGCAACGGCAGTGAAGACGCTGAGAAGACAGAAAGCAGCAACGGTTTCCTCGTTCATAACATAGAGCTCGTTGCTGATGGCAGCGATGGAGATACCGGCAGCGGCAGAGAGGACGGCGGTCTTGGAGACCAGGGAGTTGCCGGGAAGAGCATCGATGATGGACTGAGCCTTCTTCTTGGGGTCCTCGGTGGGAACGTTGGAGGCCGAGCGAGACGCGGTCAAGGTGGCAGTGATGGGAGCGACGTTGCGCGTGGGAAGGGTCGGCCGGAGCCGGGCAGCACCTAGGGGGCGTTAACAATCATAGCCAGTTGATAAAGCAAGCCGAAAAGAGTCTAGTTCGGCATACCAAGGGCGCTCTTAGCCAAACGCGAAGCCATTGTAGCAGTGTTCAGACCTTGACAGGATGTGATGGATGAACGGAAATGAGGAGACTGAGGTCGGGATGGCGGTTGGGACGGTGCGGAAGACTCTAACCCGCTCGGGCTTAGCGCCAGTGGGCGGAAAAACCGCTAACCGAGGGATCTCCAAAAATTCATGGTTGATGTCGGAACTGCTGTGCTGCCTGTCGGTCAAGTCTCCCCGATTTTGCGCGATATCTGCAGTTCTATCGACCATGCCTGCCCCTACAACTGCAGCCGTCACCTCCAAGAAGAGGAAAAATGTCAAGTCGAGCGCCGTTCCCTCGTCCAAGCGTCGCGCAGTCGCTGAGACCGAGAGCCCCAATGCGATTGCCGATATCCAGCAGCTGGAAGACCAAATTTCCGAGTCGCGAAAATACTACAACAACATTGCGACCCTGATTTCCATGCTCAATGTCGATGGCTCGTCGAAACCGAACATGGCTGTTGCCGTGGCCCTTTGCCGGGTTTTCAGCCGATTGATCGCTGGTGGAAACTTGACGGAGACCAGCCGCGCCGCAGAGAATGAGAAAATCATTGTAGCTTGGTTGAAAGAACGCTGCCGGGAGTACCAGAAGCTCTTGCTATCCATCATTCGCGAATGCGACTCCTCTTCTCAGGTTCGTATCTACCCCAGCTGGCCAAATTTATACGGTACTAACCCCCAGCAGATCAGCGCCTTGACCTTGTGCCTCTGCCTCATCAACGAACGTGCTACCCACCTCCCCGGCGACAACACTCAGGAATGGACATCGGGTTTGTTCAAGGGAGTTTTCGAGGCGGTTGTTGAGGCCCAGAATGGACAAGCGGTGCTCTCCGAATTCATCGAGAAGGCAAAGGAATTCGAAGACGTGCGGTACTACACATTCATGCAACTTGCGTACGTCCATTTGCACAACCATAATAAAAGACCCCCATCAACCCACATCCACTGACACACAAAGCAGCGAATACGCAGACACCGAACAGCCATCTGAGATCCTCGACGTCCTAATCTCCATCCTCTCAGCATGTGATTCCGTACCCGGCCCGGAGCACGAATTCGAAAGCTTCTACACGGAATCCAGCAAGCAGAACAAAAAGGTCCTCTCTGTGAACTCGCACAAGAAACGAGCCCAAGACGCCTGGCTCGCCATCCTGCGCAACAACCTCTCCCAATCGCAGCGTAAAACCCTCCTGCGCATCATGGTCCACAACATCGAGCCGTGGTTCAACCGCCCCGAACTCCTCATGGACTTCTTAACAGACTCCTACAACGTCGGAGGAGCCACCTCTCTCCTTGCCCTCTCGGGTCTCTTCTACCTCATCCAAGAAAAGAACCTCGACTACCCCCAATTCTACCAAAAGCTCTACTCGCTCCTCGACGCCGACCTCCTCCACTCCAAGCACCGCTCCCGCTTCTTCCGCCTCATGAACACCTTCCTCGCCTCTACCCACTTGCCCGCCGCCCTGATCGCAAGCTTCCTCAAGCGTCTTTCTCGCCTCTCTCTCAACGCGCCCCCCACTGCCATCGTGGCCATCGTCCCCTTCATGTACAACCTCCTCAAAGAACACCCTACCTGCGCCTTCATGATGCACCGCAACATCCGCGACGAGGGGCTCAAGGCTCAGATAGAAGCAGAGGGCATGGACGATCCCTTCGATCCTACTGAGCCCGATCCGACCCGCACAAACGCCATCGAGAGCAGTTTATGGGAAATCGAGACTCTGCAATCTCATTATCATCCTAATGTGGCTGCTATCGCGAACATCATTTCTGAGCAGTTCACGAAACAGTTCTATAACTTGGAGGATTTCCTGGATTACACTTACCAGGGTATGTTGCAGGGAGAGTTGGGTACCGAGGACAAGCCGTTCAAGAGAACGCCGGTGGTGGAGTATCAAATACCCAGGCGGATCTTTACCGATCGGTTGTTGGAGGAGGATGGTGGCCAGGATTCCGGTCCTGGAAGCTATGTCCGAGGATTGTGGGATTTTGCTTGATGAGCAAAGTATATATTGTTTATTTCTATGGCTGTGCCTTTTTCTTAGACTTGACAATTTTTAGCGTACATAATTAGATTTGGCGGGATACGGATGGGTTCAAAAAAAAAGTTATTAAAAGTTTCAAGTTTATCTATCTGCCATCAAAGCATTAATCACAATAGTTTGCGGTCTAATCTATAAGAACAATAATAGTGTCATGGGTCAACCTGACCGTGAGCGGCGACTACAGGAGATGATCAAATCTATCCAGGACCGTTATTTCGTTCTGCACCCAGATCTAGACTCGATCTACCTATGTTGTGCCGCAGGATTGTTTGGAGGAGGTTGCCGACTGCGATAATCCACCCTATGCATCCAGTCCCCCGCATACTCCGTCCAATCCGGATGAATCTCCGTGTATGCTGATAGAGGCATATACGCTCCAGCCGCTGCCGATTCGTGCCATGGTTGCAGATACGGCGATACTGTCACCATATTCATCGGTTGCAATGCCTGGCGTTCATGCTCTTCTGCCTCGGGGTCCCCAGGGTGGTAATCACAAAACACATCCAAGGCAAACACGCCGCGCTTCAAGTCATCGAAAAGCTCATCGGTAACTTTAATAGGGACTGCTTCGATGCTGGCACGCAGTTTGTTCATTATAATCTGTGCCTTCTTCCGTCTCCGCTTTCGGCGTACACTGACTTCGTCTTCCATTCGCTCAAGAAGACGCAGGATTTCTTTCTCCGATGTAGCATAGGTGACAGCATGTTGCATTCGTCGTGTGAGCTCATGAAGGTCTCCGGAGACTGCGCGAAATAGCGCATCGATCCTGGCTAATGTGTTGGTCACTCGAGAGGAGAGTAAACGGGAGAACTGTCGGCCATAGATTCGGTCCCAGAAGCCCAGCCAGTAGTGTAGCCCAGTTCGAGATTTGCTGAGTCGTGTTATTTCGAGGCTAGCAATGACATTGCGACAAAGCGCTAGCGTATGCAGAGCAGTTTCTCGTGTATGCTCGAGCGACTCTTGGTGCGGGACAGCAGGTGACTGTTCTAGCGTTTGGTCGGGGAACTCGGCTGTCTCATGTCGGCTTTCACATTCTACTGATCGATAGAACCGTTGCGAGATGCTGGGGTCTGTTGTTCTTGTGGTCGACTGTGCTGGCTCAGCTTCACATACTAGCGAAGTGGACGCACTGCGCTTGAGAGAGACGGGCAAGGTCGCTTGCAACATTCCAAGCAGAAAGTGCAGCATTAAAGAAAGATACCAGGTTAGAAAGGAAATAGTGCTCAATTTGCAGTTTTCAAGAGACTCGAGTAGCTGAAAACGAGAGAAGGGAAATTTTTTAGAAGAAACGAGTGTGATGTTAACGAGCGACTGGACAGTCTATGTCATTTGCTAGGAATAGGACGGCAACAATATTACAGTTTAATGGCCGGAGAAACGAACATAAATGAATGAGGGAACAAGTCAAGTCAAAGTCCTTCCTCCTGGGGGTCTTAACTTGCTTTTCTTGTTCGCTGGATGGATCCATTATCCGCAGGGAAGGAGCGAGCCTATCCACTCGGCGTTCAAAGTGGAAGCAACTGTAACTTCAGCAGAGAATAGAACAGGATGCATCCGGATAGTGCCTTTTCATGTATCGCTTATCGGGAAGTGTATCTTCACAGACCGTTTAGGTCGTAGTTTATCGATGTGGATACAGACGAAGCTCAACTGGTTTCCGCTTTCGGTAACCGAACAATCAGGATCGAGTGTCACCGTTGCGATTCTCGTGGAAAACCAGACGATTGTTCGGGCTCTGATATTTTTGGAAACTGTGAACCCTGGTTCACTTCAGGAACCCGTCTCTGTCCTCTTTTCTACGGGATCGGGCATTTTCAGAGGAGTTCTGATAAGCTCTCGGTGCATCAAGTTTTCGTAGAACCATTGATGCAAGTGCGAAACCGAGACCGACCGAGCTGTCGGCACATGCTGCACTTCGATTGACACAGATTGAAGAAGAATTTATGATGATGTACCATCAGCCCATGCCCGATACAGTTTTTCGCGTTCCTCGGGATCCTACCCCTTGCAGATTTGAAGTCCATCCACCACGCGAAGCTAGTTTCCTCCCCTGTGGATGGCGGAATAGACTACTCGATATGGTGCAACTTTCTGGGGAATTACGGCCTCGGGTTGGGGATGCACAAGTATGTAGAGCCGTGACATAACCGCCCTTCGCTCTTGCAAAAAGAATCTAAATCCATGAGCCTGGAGTTATTGAAACGATTTGAATGAAGGACACATACTTGAGTGTTCCGATGACTTCAGCAGTGGCGAGACACTTTACCAACATCTAACACGGCTCAAAGTAAATGTGCTGTCGCCCTTGAAGCGGATGGGAGCAGGTGCTGCTGAGACAGTGTATAGATATCTGATCCATCTTGCGATCATAATCAAGCCAACCCAGAGAGATCTAGCGAAGATAGGCCGTTGGGCTGTCACAGTCCCACCCCTTGTGAAAGGCGCGGAGGGAATGTAGAGCCTCGACTCGGTACTTCGGCTACATTCCTGCACATGAGCCTGTGCCAGTCATGGGCAGCATAGCCGGAATGCCAGTACTCAATGCCGGCATGTTTGTCGCGCCTTTTCCCTGGTATGCTAGCATACTCGGAGGTAAACAAAGCACGGGTAAAGGAGGGAAATAAAAGTCCATCGTCCAGCCCTGATGCCATCCACACCTCTGGAGATCTCTGTTCTGTACGAGCCACACCGATTTCTGGACGTTCTGGACGGTAGCTCTACACGGAAAAGGGTGAGTATAGGACATCGTGACTGTACTTACTAGGGAACCCCAAGGTGTGTCAACTCACTGGAGTCTTGCGGCGATCTTTGCAGGAAAAAGTGAACCAGTACCAGGGGAGTCATCATTGACTGCGGCTTGCATCAATCAGTGCTGCTTGCGAGAGTAAATACATCTCGTCTGATACCTGACCAACAAACATTGGTACTACGACAACTATGCGCTTTACAGAGGCGGTTGTTGCTTTTGCGGCGTGTCTGGCTCAGGTCCAGATTGCCCAAGCAGCCTTGGCTTTCACGCATTGGCCGACTACTATTGATGCCGGGGCCCCTACAACCTTGAACTGGGAGAGTGACTCTGATGCTGTATGATCCCTTCTTCATTCTTCGGGTATTCCTGGTGCACTTTGCTGATGATACTTCTAGCCGGTTACGATCACCCTGCGTAAAGGAGCAGCCGCAGACCTCGACACTGTCCAAGTCTTGACCAAAGATGCACAGGGAGGCTCTTACACTTGGACACCTGACAACTCTCTGGAACCAGGCTCAGATTATGCCTTTCAGATCGACCAGGATGGGCAGGTAAACTATTCGGGGCTAGTGACGTTGAACAATGACTCGGAAAGAACCGCTGCAACTTCAGCTGCAAGCTCAACTACCTCCACTCAGGAGACGACAACACCATCCCAGACGCAGACTACACCAACTCCTACTCCCACCGACACTGCTCCCCGGGATGAAGTGAACAGTGTTTTGCCTGGCAACAATGCGACAACGAATTTCACATTGGATGCCAACCACGACAGTAACTCCAATGTTTCCAGCAAGAGTGCCATGGCGGCGGCCATGCAGAATGGTGGCGCACCTTTCCAGATGGTCTCACTTGATCTGGTCCTTGGCATCGTGGCTATGGGTTTCTATCTCGTCTGCTGAATCTGACGTGGGAGGGCTGAAGTCCTTACTAGGTGGCATGAGCATTGGGTCTAATCGTCTCTTTCAGTTCTGAGGTTCGGGAACTGCCAGTCATGTTGGCCTCGGTCATCACGACAAAACTTCTATTCATATTGTTCTTTACTGTTTCGAACCCGTCCCATCCTTACCTTTTCTTTTCTTTGGTGTGAGTCGCTCCTTTGGTCAGATTTCCTTTGTATATAATGAGATTTCACGATTATGGGTTTTTGAACGGTCAGGCGTGAGACGATATCTGCAGGCGGGAATAGGTTCGGTTGGATGTTACGAGTGATGGGGGTTTCTCTTCATAAAGGGATTTCGATAGCCAACTTCTAGTTAGTGTAGCCAATAACAAACAACGAGTTTATTATGTCATGTAGAATGTCCACTGGCCAATCGTTGAACTGATTACAGGTCTGGAGTTGGGTGAAATTTCTCGCATCATCAATCGGACTGTTCCTACAAGTCATAATTGACAGTGAGGCTGGATTGTTTCAAGTTGGAAGATCGATGGGGGGAGGCAAACAGAGGGGATTGGATCCGAAGGACAGGTTTTGCTTCTAGCGGCCGTGGTTAGCGGCGGCAGTCCCAGGTCGGGCGCTACTATTCTTAATTCATCTTATTCATTAATTATTATTATTGTTCTTTTGCTGCCAGGCAGACACCTCACATCATCAGACATCTCGATCCCTATTAGTGCCTTCTTTTCTTTTTTGCTGCCCAGCAGTTCCGGCTGCATCTTTATTAAGTGCGGGGATCTCTCTCATCTTCCCAGAAAATATTTATTTCTACTGCCAACTAACAGAGTCACCACCGGTCATTCCCTTTCAAATTCTCGGTAGTTAGTACTCAACTGCACCGATTAACCATACTGCCCCTCCCTTATCACTGTTCATACTAGTTGATACTATATATATCACTCAACCTCTCATCTCCTGTGAACCCTACGATATTCACCCAGTTGCGTGAGTTTATGGTTCGTGCTGCTGTCGACGCGGATCAGCGGGTAAAATAGTACATTTAGGTGCGTTGAGAGTGACCCAGGCCCTGTCATTGTCTACTTGTTTCAGCACTTGCCGCCTTTGCTTCTGCATCCATCGAGTTCAACTTCTTCCACCGCAATCTCGGATTTTTTTTTTCTGATGTCTCGGCGATGAATAAGCACCATTCTAATCCTCATCACAATAATAATAATATTCGTGCTGCAGATCTGCAAACAAGCATTGATCCACTTCGTGGTATGTGCTGCGCTTTTTCTTCCCCTTCTTCCTCGTCATTTTGTGCCTTTTCCATGCATCCCTATCATCATCTGCCACTTAAGTTCCCAATCTTCCCCGCGACGTGCTCGTTTGTCAATTCCGGGGTCAGAAAGTCTGCGGGCGCACCTTTCACTACTAGATCTACTAGTATCTCGCCCTTGATTTGCCTTTGTACAATTCAGTTGTTGTCATTGGCGGTGTTAGTTTCGTCGATTTAAGTTGCTTGCTTGCTCCTTGCTGCGGCCCCAACTCCGGCTACGGAGTGGCATCCTACGTGGTCTTCCTTCCTCCCCCCCAAAGGGAGTAGGTTTGCTGCTTGGATACCTACTCCGTTCCCTTCATTGTCGCATTGCCCTTTGCGGATATTCTGCCCTTCAGCCAACATTCCAACCCTATCCGCTTTGCTCGGAATGGCCCGATTCGGTCGGGTCAAGAAGTCCCCTAAGGCAGGAACAAAAAATGCTGACTCGGACATGCTTGTGCTACCTACGTCAGATCCCCAACGAGCGCCTCGTGTGAGCTTACCACATGTGGAAACGGAATTGAACATGCATCAGTACAATGGCCTCTTTGAAATTGGTACCCCGGAGCGACAGAAGGCATCCGCTGCGGAAGAGTCATCCACAGGTAAGCCTCTCCGCCCCCCTCCCCCTTTCCCATGCCCTCGACCCCAGCTAATTCGTATGCACTTGCGTAGAAACGGTAGTTGCCCCCTCACCGAACGGCACAAACAACATCCACAATGCCATATCTGGCGATGTTCCGGCAACCGAATGGTCATCCGCCGTCGGCCACGCAGCGACGGGAAAGTCGGGACGAGTGATACACAATCTACAGGAGGAGGTTGCGCGTTTGACCCGCGATTGTAGCGTCTATCGCTCGAGGGCCGAGGAGACCCAGCGAATGAACGATGCGTTCAAGATCCAGGTCCAGAATATGACCGAACGACTCCGGAACCTCGAACAAGCGAATGAGACCAATCTGCACTCCATTTCACGGAAGGATAAGAAAATCGAAGAGCTTCGGTTGGAAATCCAAGGCGAGAAAGACCGGAGATCTCATGCTGAGGGAGAAGCTCGGAAGACAACTCAATTGATGGATGAAGCTCGTGACGATTTTCATCGGAAATGCGCCGAGCTTCAAGAAATTTCTCATCATTCTCGAACTCAGTATGATGTGTTAGCGAAGACCGGACAACGAGAACGGGCGGAACATCTGAAGAAGCTCAAGGTGCTCCGGGATGATTTTGTCGCTTTGAAGAAACGAAGTGACGAAAAAGACACTCATGTAGAGCGCCTGGACGAACTGATGGCCGAGAAGGATCGTGAGCTTGAGAGCAGCAGACAGAAGTTCGAGGCCCTCTTCGCCGAGTACGAAGCCTACAAACGCACCCAGGACGAAGAATTGAGATCCCTAATTGAAAGCGGACGTGAGGGTGAGGCCAAAATCAATGCGGCCCTTGCTGCGCTGCAAGAAACCCAGGGGCAGATGAAATGGGCCATTCAAGTCAAGCACCAAATCAAGGATGCCGAATAAATGATACCCCCCTCTCCAATGACGATCCAAGGGAACGTACCTGGGAAAGCTGCTACTGGGCAGAATACGCATTGGACTCCCTACGCAGCTTCGATTCAATGGCGGGTACATTGATCTGGCATATTCGACTCAATCTTCGTCCCTTTAATAGGCGCTCTTATGCCTTCAGCACGGAGGTCACTGGCCATGTCTGCGCCTGGTCAGCGAAGACGGAAGACCTTCCGGCCGTGGGCCCTTTTTAATTTTCTTGTAATTTCTTTTTTTTTTCCTTTCTTTCTTTTCTTTTCTTTCACTCTTTTGCTTTTCCTTCCCCTCTTCTTGTCCACCTCTCTTTACTTCTCTTTCTCTTTCCCTTCAATGTTTCTCTTTCCTCTCATATTCACACTCCACAGTATCTCTGGAAGAGATCTGGAGTTTGGGATTGCTCGATACCCCGGAAGAATAGACCATCATGTCCTTGCGTGTCACCCTGTGTTTAGAGTGTTCGGATGACCAGAACGGCAGTATCCGTGTAGATATACTTTTTATCCTTTGCATGTCAACAATGCAATCAATCTTACAGTAATGCAAAACTTCCTATATGACGGAACTCTCCTTTGAAAGGCTTGCGATGGCCTCTTCCTGTGCTGCTAACGGCAAATCTCCCCTACCATCTCATCCTTTCTGGGAGTATTTGTATTCTTTCTGGATCAGGGACTTCACTGTGTCTTGATGCAGTTGCTTTCATTGTCTACAAAACGCGGGCTTTGCCTTCTCTTGCCCAGACCGTACTTCTGTTAACTTCAATGACACACCGTGACTGTTCCAGTGGCGTCCACTCGCAGGGAATTCCAGCTGCATCCACCCGCTCTGTGTTTGTGCAAGTGTCTGTGTTGATTCCCTTAAAGTTCGCCCCAGTGTTATTATTGATCACTGGCCATTCACCCTGGCTCTTTCCCCGGTGTTTCATTGCCATGAGAATTAACTGACCACCCTTTGCCCCGCCATCTTCCCTCCAAGCACCACTTCCTTCTTGTTTTCTTTCCCACTTCCTCCTTTCGTCTTTCCTCTTTTCTTCGTAATCTTATTCAAGCCTTGACTGGTTCGTCTTTCATCGGTTATCACCATCAACCTCGTTCTGTTGTCTTGACCACATCCATATTAGAGTTCATCTGCACGATCTTTCACATCTTCAATAATGTCGGGAACGCAGCGGCTCACGCTGGCGTCGATGTGGGCGTTCGAAGATATTGGGGTAAGCAAAAGCCAGTCTTGTTATATCGTGGTCCGCATTAACACAGTAACAGGTTGAGGAGGTTACAGATCAGATCAAGTACAGAGCCTAGCCAACACACACTTCTTCTGTGATTGAAGCTTACAGTCGTAGGAAACTCAAAAACCAGTGTGACAGTGAATATCATTACCATAAGCATGACAACGTGTGTTGATTTCCCACCCAGTGAACTCGATTCTTCATGCTAACGAATTCGCTTTTCTAGGTTCTTGAGGTCAATGGTAATCTGGAGGGCGGCACATCTCAAATTGCAAAGGTTGTATCAAACTTCATCGACGGTCAGGAGAATAAGGATTTGCTAGACGTACGTCTCGGGGCTTTCTTGTTCTCCCTCTCCCAACAAACATCTCGCTAATGGGCAGAAACGTTAGATGCCTCGGATCAATCAACTTGACGCCTCTGCCATTATGCCTGTCGACGAAGACACCGTGGCTTCCGATTCAAACAAGGACGAAGAGGGCGGGCTTCTAGCCCTGTCAGACAGCTCTGACCAGGACTTGATACCTAACCCCGCAGCTCTTGTCACTAGGTTCTGGCTATCGCCCACTGGGGGCGTGGGCTGCTTCTCAGACGACAGGTTCCGTGGATTTCTCTCGCAGATAGCGGCTTTGACTGGGACTGAGGCTTGCATTGTCGAAGGCCATGGCATCCGATTGACCGGGAAGTCCGTCGAAGACGTACAGGATGCCTTGGCGAAACTCACTCGGATTGAGAAGCCCCTGGTAAGTGTCCGCCTCGCTAGAGTACCTGCCATTTTCTTACTTGTGTAACAGAGCTCTATTTTGAACCCAATAGTAGCGAATTTGAATGCTACTCCAGATAACGGTCGCATACGTTTTCGTATGCAGAGCTACGGCAGTCTGAACAGTACTGCTCCTCGACGCCTTCTGACCGACCCAGACATGAGCCTCACCTGGGAACTCGGTCAGATGTTCGTCACCGTGCCGTTACCCTTTGACGAGGAGATCCATGCATTCAGAGAGCCCAGAAATATCACTAATCCACCTCATATAACCGAGGAGCCTGGAAGAACCCGTCTCTGGAATGACTTCGTCTTTCAGGGGATTGGAATAGGCGATGAATATCTTGCCTTGAGTACTGTTGATGAGCTTGCTAGAGCCAGAGCTCCGGCTACTGCTTCCAGCGGCATCGCTACACATCCTTATTTGACGCCTGAGAAGGCAAAACAAGTTGACCAGTGGAATCGGTGGGTTGTGGAGGGGACTGGTGCCGAAAAATCTGTTCCTATACCCGACGCAGATATGAGAATTGTGCATCATCCCGAGCAGTCAGCTGTGAAACCTCCTGCTCCAATGACTAAGAGGCCACCAGGTATCAAACAGCGCAGACTCATCACCTCTGACGAGATACAGCCATCATCATCTCGGGAGTGTGCAGAGCCGAAACTCAAGAATGCTGTGGATCAAGCTGCGGGGGCTGAAGGCGATGTCTCTAAGGGTCGTAAGAAGTGGAAGATGACCTACAATACCGAAAGTGGCATTGCAGGCCAGCATGTTACAGCAGATCCGATGGCTGAGGTGCAGGCGCCACAGGCTCAGGTAGCCCCAACAATCGATCAAACAGTGTCGGAGAACAAGCCGCGTCTTATCCAGGGTTTTGACACCACAAAGTATGGTCTCAACAGAAGCGCCCCCAAGGCTATGAGAAGCGACCACCGCACCTACCCCCACACCCGACCGGGGCCGGAGAAGAAGCTTAACAACCGGAAGGAGCTTGTTGATATTCTTGGGCCGGTAACAAATGACGGTTCTAGTATTAAGCCGACGATTTCTTTCTATCAGCCGGCCTTAGTGCCATCGAGTCTGTCTTGTAGTCGAATTGCGGTCTCCCCAACCCCGGCCTCAGAAGAAGTGGTCGGGCACAGCAGGGGCAATGGTCTTGATCTTGCCGGTTTGGTTTTTGAGGCATCTGGGACCCCGTTAGAGCTTAGCAGCACGGAATCTATGCAAGAAGCGACTTCTCTAAGCAATGACAGAGAAACTTCCCCAAGCCACGACAGAACCCCCTCTCATAGCAATGAAAAAGCGACTTCCTCCGGCAGAACCAGCAGAACCAGAGACGCTTCACTCAGCGGTGATATGGTGGCACCACTCAGTAACGCAAGGGCTACTTCACACAGCAGTGAGATGGTGTTTGAGCAGACAAACAGACTAGCTTCGTTGACCATGGTCTATAATGAAAGCAATAAAGGCGAATCACTGATCGTGGAGCAGGCTTACAAGGATGCACCAACTCTACGCCAGGCACAGGGGAATTTAGCTCACGACAAAGTCACGGAAATTGAGAGATCCCACGGGGCAGCGAAACACCTCGATGATGAGGTCGCGACGAGAGCCTTCCGCCGTATTATGACACAGAAGGCACCTAATTCAAGTAACAAAGACAAGGTCACTAGCAAGGCCGAGGCTAAAGCCAAGAAACAGAAGACCCTTGAAGATGCTTGGGGAATACTTCCAAGGCCCGCCAAGAAGCCATCAGTCGATG